CACCATACATACTTCATTTCTACTTGGAAAAACAGGAAAATCATTTTAAGATTAATTTGTTTATTTATTTAGAGACAGTTTTACTCTGTGCCCTGGGTAGAGTACCATGCATTATAGCTCAAAGTAACCTTGACTCTTGGGCTCAAGCCATCCTCTGCCTCTGTTTTTTCATTTTTAGTAGAGATGGGGTCTCACTCTTGCTCAGGCTGGTGTGGAACTCATGAGCTTAAAGCAATCCACCCACCTCGGCCTCCCAGAGTGTTAGATTGAGCCACTGTGCCTGGCCCAAAACTTCATTTTTAAAGCGGCACGGAAGGAAACAATGTTGTCATTTAATCCTCTATAGAAAAATACAGTAACAACCTTTCCTAGCAAATAGCTCTAGCTGGAAACATACTGTTCTAATTCTAGCATACTTGGGCTTTCTACAGAAAAGATGAAGTCAAACAAGATGAAAAGTACTCCCCAGCAGGGCCCCATATTTCTTGCCTCTTTGCTGCTAGAAAGGAGCAGAATTTCTAATGGATACAGTCCTGAAACTGCCAGTTTCCACCAGCTCCTTATCCCTTCCTCCGCCACTGAAGACAAGTTCTTGGAAATGCCCCACCCTCACCACAGTCAAGACTACAAAAACTCTGGCTGTGTTGTACTTACCTCCACCTTGTACTTCTTGCGGGCCTTTGCGACATTCACGCCCAGGTAACCTACCATGACAAAGCTGGCCACACCAGTTAGAAGCACAAAGCCGTATTCCTTAGAGAGGACGGCCATCTTGGCTCTGTGGAAGAAAGAACACTACAATGGGTCACTGTCCCCAGCACAGTGGACATCGCATGGAGTGAGGCCTTAGGGAGCATGACATCTTACTATATACAGGTCAAATGCATACATGGAGGTCAAAGAGAAGTGTGAGTCAATCTGATGCTTCCCCTTTTTTTTTGAGACCGAGTTTTATTTTGTCACCCTCAGTAGAGTGCCGTAGCATCATAGCTCACAGCAACCTCAAACTCTTGGATTCAAGTGATCCTCTTGCCTCAGCCACCCAAGTAGCCTGAACTACAGGTACCGGCCACAACGTCTGGCGGCTATTTTTTATTTTTTTGAGACAGAGCCTCAAGCTGTTGCCCTGGGTAGAGTGCTATAGTATCACAGCTTACAGCAACTTCCAACTCCTGGGCTTAAGGGATTCTCTTGCCTTAGCCTCCCAAGTAGCTGGGACTACAGGTGCCCACCACAATGCCCAGCTATTTTTTGGTTGTAGTTGTAGTCGTTTGGCAGGCCCGAGCTGGATTCAGAACCCGCCAGCTCTGGTGTATGTGGCTGGCACCTTAGCCGCTTCAGCTACAGGCACCAAGCCCTGGTAGCAATTTTTTAGAGACGGGGTCCTGCTCTTGCTCAGGCTGGTTTCTAACTCTTAAGCTCAAGCAATCCACCCACGTTGGCCTCCTAGAGTGTTGGGATTACAGAAACGAGCCACCTCGCCCAGCCTCAATCTAATGTTTCTAAGGGGTCATTGTCATAATCATATAACAATTAAAAAAATTACTTCAGTATGCAGATACACACAGAAATGTATACATATACAGAAGGTACAAAAGCATATTACACATTTTAAGATAGGAGAAAACTGTACTGAAATTGTAGTACTCAATATATACCAATAACAAAAGATGAATACAAGTCGTGTTGAGCGCCTCTTGTAATTGTACAAGTCAAACATGACTTGAGTTTTAATATAGGCTCGGCGCCCATAGCTCAGTGGTTATGGCACCAACCCCAAACATTGGGGCTGGCAGGTTCGAACCTGACCCGGGCCTGCTAAACAACAATGACAACTATAACAAAAAGATAGCTGGGCATTGTGGCAGGCGCCTGCAGTTCCAGCTCCTTGGGAGGCTGAGGCAAGAGAATAACTAAGCCCAACAGTTTTGAGGTTGCTGTGAGCTGTGATGCCATGGCACTCTACCAAGAGTGACATAGTGAGACTCTGTCTCAAAAAAAAGAAATTTAATACAATTTTTTCCTTTCTTTAAATATGTATACATTGTTTTGGTATCCTCTGTATTCATATCATATTTCCTCTTATTTCCCCTGGGTTATTTACAGCGTTGCTGTAGTAATTGCTATAGAATGATACAGCCATTAAAACTTGCATTTTTGAAAAAACACTTAACATGGCAAAATGCTAAACTATACATTGTTTCACTGAGAAAGAGAGAATGGGAGAGGAGAGGGAAAGAGGAACAAGTGGGGAGAGGAGAGGGAAAGAGGCAGAATCTAAACCAGCATATACACCGCAATTCCAAGTCTTGTGCCTGAGACGCGGGGGACACTGGAAGAGCAGGAACCTTAGGGTCTCCCTTTGGTCCTGGGCACCAGCAACAGAAGTCTCAGCAGTTAGGGAGAGTCCTAGTTTGAGTGCTTTGAAAGCAGAGCTTGGTTCTCGAGCTTAGGATGCTTTGGGCAGCTCCAGGGAACTTTAGGTTGCTCCTCAAATCATCACTTCAAAATTTGCCCATGAGTGAGTGTTCTGATGTCCAGAACTTATTTTGATCCACATATATGGGTCTTATGTACCAAAAAGAAATGACTATACGTGCCACTACAGCAAAATGTTAATCGTAGACGCTAGGTGGGAACTATGCGGATCTTCGATGTGCAGGTCTTTCAGTACTTCTGTATGTTTGAAATTTTTCATAATAAAATGTGGGTGGGGGGAGGGGAAGCTAATCCCAGCTCATTTTCCAGTATTCACTAATTTTTGCTATTTAAGCCACGGTCCTGTTCCAGAGGAGAGAAAACAAAGAGACGAGGCATCAAAGACAGCAGCGCTCGGCAGGTGGGAAGACGCCCCCTGAACTCACTGGTGCCTCAGTGCCACCCCTCTAACCTCTGATCTTTGGCCACCACATGGGAGAAGGGTCAGAGCATGGCAGGTCCCAAAGAAGCAGCTGCGTTGCCCCAGGAGACCTTCTGCAGACCGCCTGGTGTGCGCCAGGCTGCCAGTCAGCAGCTCTGGGGAGTGTTCTGCTTCAAAATTTCCATCCCTGGTAAGTATCTGGCTTCAATCTCTCTTGTAAAGCTAGGAAGGTCACCCTGCTCCAAAATGTGTCCAGTCATCCCAACACACAAAGCAAACAAGATGGTGACAACCCTATTTCCCAAAGAATCCCCAGAGATTAAGTAACATCCCCAAGGTCTAAAGCACTAAGTATCAGAGCTGAGATTCAGATTCTTCAGAATCATTTGGTTCCCATGTCCCCTTTCAGTCTCACTGGAATATTTAGAGCCCAACTGGTGTGGGCCTCAGAGCACTTTTCTCAAAATGTGATTTGGAGTGGGCAAGCAGCTCAGTTCCTTAAAAGTTAGTTTCTCTTAACGCAGAAAAATAACATTTGGGGCCTACATCCTAAAAACCTCCCACCAGGGTTACAATAATTCTCATCAGTTTTCCCCTTCGAAGTCCTGCACCCCGAGCTGCTGAGTGTGCCCAGAGTCACTCCGTAGAGGGGTGGGGACACACGTGGGAGAGGGCTGGCCGGTCAGCAGGCCCTGCCCATCTGCATTGTTGCAGTGAGAAGTCTGCAGCTCCCCTCCAAGCTTTCCTGCCCTTGTTCTCTTTTGTCTAGAAAATTAGCATAAAGAGGAAGCTATGGAACTTATTAAAATAAAAATTTAGTGTGAATTCTGAACTCCTCTTGAAGATAAAAATAAACTTTCTAGCCTCTCCTTGAAGTTGGACATATTTGAGTCAAATAGGCCACTTAAAATGCAGCTGCCTCTACCTCTGTCAGAAGCTCCTTTGGGAAGGATCCTGGCTCCCTGGCTGGGTGGGGATGACCCCGTGTGGGTATAGCACTTTCAGTTCACCTTTAAACTTCACAAAAATCCCATTAGCTCCATTTTACAGAAAAGGAAATGGAGGCTAATGGAGATAGGGCAGAGCTAAGAAAAGTAGACTTTAGAATTCTTTATCAAAACAGGCTGGGCACAGTGGCTCACGCCTATAATCTTAGCACTTTGGGAGGCTGAGGTGGGAGGATTGCTCAAGGCCAGCCTGAGCAAGATAAGCAAGTCCTCATTTTTATAAAAACTAGAAAAATCAGTCGCGTGTGATTGATGGTATGTGCCTGTAGTTCCAGGCATTCAGGAAGCTGAGGTTGAGGCAGGAGAATCACTTGGGCCCAGGAGTTTAGGGCTATAGCAAGCTATGATGAGGCTACTATCCCCCAGCCTGGACAACAGAGCAAGCCACCTCCCAAAAAAAGAAAAAAAAAAAAAAAAAAAAAAAGAAAGACTTCTTTTTCCAAACACTCCAGCTAGGTCAGGCAACACATTAGAACCTGGTAGCTTCATCATTGACCTGTTTTTCTAATTTGTTAGGGGTCAAGGCAGGTAGCTGGCAAGACAGAGAAATGCTTCCTGAGTAAACACCTCTGTGGCAGGCAGTTAGAAGTTAATATTTACCCCTGAGCTCCTCTGTTAAAGTGTAAATGTAATCTACAAGGTTAAACCTGTTGGGCACTCACACCTTAGTGAAAGTTACTCTTCTCACACTTTGTCAAGATGACATGTCTTGAGTATGAATCTGGATGTGGTGACCAGAGCCAGAACACTAAGGACCTTCAAAAAATTGACAGTAAGAGAGAGCCAGAGTCTGACTCCAGAGTGGATGGTTTGCAGAGGACACACAATCAATCACAGGGACAGAAGGAGTGCCCAGGGCAGCAGCA